TAAGCACAGCACTGTGTAGCTGTCCACGGCCTCCAGCATGAGTTCGATCCCCAGCCAGCCAGGGACCTACCCACATGGCACAGGAGACCTGTCCTGTATCACCTGCTGCTCTCCTCAACAGTGTATTTCAGTCAGTCTGCCTGTTCTATTCTCCACTGTCTCTGGTGAATCCTCTCACCCCCCACACCTCTGGCCTGTACTCCAGTTCTTGTATGCATAAATAAATAAATCTTTTTTTTAATTTATTTATTTATTTATTTATTTATTTATTTGTACAAGCACTGGGTACAGTCAGAAGCATGGGAGGGTGAGAGAATTCACCAGAGCGGGGAGCAGAGCAGGCAGAAGGACCAAAGTACACTGCTGAGGGGAGCAGCGGGCGGCAGGAGAGGTCTGTGCCCCATGTGGGACCCTCCTCCGGTGGCTGGGGAGCAGCCGGGGATCGAACCGGCGCCGCAGAGGCTGCGGGCAGCTTCGCAACCCAGCGCTCAACCGCTGTGCCACTGGGGAGGCCCATAAATAAATCTTTTTTTAAAAAGACAGGTTAACAGGAGAAAAATTTCATTCACAGGGGGGCTTCCCAATAGGCAGTTGGGGTTTATATGACATCTTGAGCTCATGAGGAAAGGGTGAGAGGGAGAAAACTCATAGGAGCATGAGATAAGGCAAGTGTTTGGTAAACAAATGTTTGCTGGGTCCTGCAGAAGCCATGGGACATAGGAATTTTAAGTCAAACATCGCTAGGTTCCTTCCTGCCTCCACAGCTAACTCATATGCTAGTTATCCATGGTGGTAACTCCCTTCATGGAACAGGTATTCTTCCTGAATTTTTTTAGGCAATTAAGGGGAAGGCCAAAGATTATTCCTGAGTCTTTTGGACCTTGATACCTGGCTTTTCCACTTAGCATTTCTTTTTTTTTTTTTTAAGATTTATTTATTTATTTATATAAGCACTGGGTACAGTCAGAATTCACCAGAGCCAGAGCAGGGAACAGAACAGGCAGAACAATGAAACACACTGCTGAGGGGAACAGCTGGCTTGGCAGGAAAGGTCTGCGCGCCATGTGGGACCCTCGCCGGTGGCCGGGAATCGAACCGGCGCTGCAGAGGCTGCGGGCAGCTTCGCAACCCAGCGCTCAACCGCTGTGCCACCAGGGGAGGCCCTCCACTTAACATTTCTTAAATATAAGTACATAAAGAACTTCCCCAGTCCTTTCTACCAGCTGTAAAGTATTTTTACTTTCTTCGGAAAGTATTCCATTATATAGATTTAACATAATTAAACTAATCCCTTCTTGATGGTCACCTAAATCAGGAAAATGTCAAGAAAGGTGAGAAGGTGAAAATTTGAGGCTGATGTCTCCTCCACTGTTACACCCTGCCACATGTGCGTGTTGTCTGAATACTGAACACGCAATGCTTATTTTTTGTTACTACACTCCGTCATAGAGCCCAAGGCTGTCTTTGAGGAGTCTTCAAGCCGATTTTGAGTCAGTGGACTGTTACAAGGCTAATCCTAACAGCAGCTATGAGTATTGTGCTTGCTTACTCTGGCCAGGAACTGGGCCAGGAGCTTCATGTATGATCTCCCATAAGGAAGGCACTAACCTTATCCCCATCTTACAATGAGGAAATACAGACTTAGAAGACTAAAATGCTGTGCTCAAGTCACACAGCCAGTAAATGGTATAACTGAGATTTGAGCCTAAGTTTTTTGCCTCCCTTCTGTTAAGACTTATATTCCTAGAATTGAGATATTTTGGGGGGTGCCTCCTGGTAAAGCTTGGCACTCACATATAAAAATGAAGAAAGCTCTGTGATATTTCAAAACAATGTTGATAATTTAGGGTCATGGTTGTATGTTTTTCTCTGTGAATAGCGCATGTATCAGTCATCAAGGGGGAATTGGTCTCTGCAAAATGGAAATGCTCAAAATCTGACCTCCCCCTTTGATGAATGCCCACGTGGGCTAATTGGGTAATGGCTCCCTTTCTGCACCTGCTGGAGCATCTGGGATGAATCCAGTTTCCATTTTTCAGAGATTATATTTGGCTGTCACATGGGCCTTTTCTAGATGTCATCCAAATAATTATTTGGAAAGGGAAAATTTCAAGCATTTCCCCACTTCTAAATATTTTTCCCTTACTCACTTGTTCATGTTTTAAACTACCAGGCAGTGGCTGTTACATTGCTGGTCTAGAAGACTTCTCAGCCCAGGTTCATCTCAGTAAAAATGTCCACTTCTTTGTTTTGGTGCTAATCTTGTAAAAGTTGTTTTGTTTTTCTTTCCTTCATTGTTAATTCTGAAGACTATTTCTCATTTTAAAGTAGATTGTTAGGGACCTATTTTGTAGTTTATCAGTATGTACGCAAAAGAAAGAACCCATCAGTGATCTTTTGGTGCTCTCAGTCACAGATATGCTTTCAAAAATCCGTGTGGATTTTCTATTCATGCAGTAACTCCCAGAAAGAGTTTCACCTAACACTGGGAAAACTGCTTGCTCATGTTGCCCAAATTCTGTTAGATTTTATGTTTGCTTTTGACTTTAGTAGGTGTTTGAGTAATGGACTGAAAGTAAGTGGAATTGTGGAGAAAATGCACAGAAGAGACAGGACTGAGAACAGGAGTAAGAGCAAGCGCAGATGGTATTAGAGACCTCTCCTACCCTGTAATATTACAGGGACATCCACAACTAAAACCCTGGGCTGATGTTCTCCCCTTCCCGGCCCCCTCGCCCCCAACAGTGTGTCCAGCCCCCAGGAGCACTCTGGGAGCTCATGATACATACACATGTGTGTCCTGTAAAAACATAGTCTGAGTCTTTATGCCAAAGAAATGTTTCCTGGGGAGCCCAGGCCATTTATTTAAAACTAAAGCCATATGTGTGAGTGAAGGTTTCAGCCCAGCTGCTGTCCACACAGCACAAGCAGCAATAAACAGAGCAAAGGTCTTTGCGCAGCTGCAGGCTGATGTCACTGTCTGGGGCTGGGCCTGCTCTCGGCCTGTGGTAATAAACAGCAGTAAACCTCCCGCTCCCCCATCTGACCCATTTTTTTCCCTTTCCCTCTCATCTGTCCTCTCTTCACCTCTTCACTCACAGTTGCCAACACAATTGAACACTACTTAGATTTTTTTTCCCCTTAACAGTAAAAGCCCTGTCTGGTGGCTAATGTGAGAGGATGTTCATTATCCTTTTTTATAGTTTGATGCACCATATTTATATATTCAAATTAACGATTGAGGTGGTTTTCTCACCAGTTCCTGGTGCAATAGTCAATTGACTGGGGTTGAAATAACACAGGCATGGGGCACAGAATCAGAATCACACTTCTAGCTCTGTGCCACAGGCCACCTATTCGCCCTTCTTCTGGTTTCCTGATTTAGCAGTATGGTTCTCCAGGACTTGTGGGAGAGTTCAGTGAGGTGATATGTACAGAGCCCCTCTGTGCACCAGTCATCAAGTAGCAATTTTGTTTTTTTGGTTTTTTGTGTGTGTGTTTTTTAAAGATTTATTTATTTATTTATACAAGAACCTGGGGTACAGGCCAGATTCATGGGTGGGTGAGAGGATTCACCAGAGACAGAGCGGGGAACAGAACAGGTAGACTGACGAAATACACTGCTGAGGGGAGCAGTGGGCGAGACAGGAGAGGTCTACCGTGCCATGTGGGACCCTCGCCGGCCAGCCAGGATCCAACTGGCACTGCAGAGGCTGAGGACAGCTTCATAGAGCTGCGCTCAACTGCCTGAGCCACCAGGGGAGGCCCCAGCAATTTTGTTTTTAACATTAATTCCTTTCCCCTCTGATAAATGTTTATTTGAATTTTCAGAGTTTTGTTTTAGCAGCCACTGTCCTTGTCATTTTCCATATGGTCCATCTTACCTCTGAGAGGATACCGTTAAAGGTCACTTTGGTAGTTCTACTCCACATGGCATATTCCCAAGAACACAAGTCCAAGCAGCGCCGGGAATTCATCCCAGAACCCAGCCAATTCCACATTAGTTAGGTGCCCTAATTAGTTTCTCTGCCCTAAAACAATCTTTTATTTCCTTCCACAATGCCTGAAATTTAATATTCTGAAATGAAGTAAAGATTAACTTTACCAATACCCATTTTATATTAGTACATAGCGTTCTAGAGTATGGAGAACATGTGTCCTGGTGGGTGTGCAGTAGGTCTCCATTCACCTGTGTTTTAACATCAATGAAGAGGGTGGAAGAGCTCACAGCTTCCTGAGAAGTGATCGTGACATTCCAGGACTCCCTGTAGTGTGTGCATGGATGCATTTGTGTGCCAGTTCTGCAGTGTATTTTTAGTGATTCTCTTTTTGGTGGTAGTGGTGAAGAGGTAGGATGCTCAGATTTTAAACTGAGTTTTATCACATTATTTTGCATTTTGAAAGCATGTTATTTTACCTTTCAATGTGTTCACGTTGGTAGCTTTTAAGATGTTTTCCCTAAAGTTTTCTCTTTTATGCACTGGTGATTGGTGCTCTATGAATTCTAATATTTTGACTTTAATTGCTGATTTTTCAAAAGAAATCATCTCAAGTTAAGGACAAGCTTAAAATCTACTAATTTTTTGTCCCTGATCTTCCCAGATCCTTCTGTGTCTTCACTTCTCCCACAGTGATTGGCTGTCTTTAGAGATGCCTCAGCCAGTCAGAGCCTTCTCAACCTTATGCTCCCTCACTCCTAGGTCACCACAGAAAAGGCTCATCTTTACTTGGGAATCAGGCTCTTCAGTACCCCCTCACTGCTTGCTCCATAGCTGTTGGCTTGTTTCTTTTTGTTGTTTTTTTCTGCCAGAGATCATTGCCTTTTGTCCTTTTTATTTTTCACTTCATACTATGGCATTTGAAAGCCTGGTCCCTACAGAACTGAGACTGTGCTCTCTCTCTCTCTCTGCTTCCAGAGACATCCCAAGTGTGTGTGGATATTACAAATTCAGGACATTGACTAAGTTAAATGTCATTGTTCCTTTCCTTTTTCACTTCAGTCACCGCTTCAGCCACCTGTGAGAAATTGGAAAAGGCCAGAAATGAGTTGCAAACAGCTTACGAAGGATTTGTCCAGAAGCTAAACCAGCAACACCAGACTGATCTAACAGAACTAGAGAATCGGCTTAAAGAATTTTATACTGGGGAATGTGAGAAGTTTCAGAACATCTACATTGAAGAGGCAGAGAAGTATAAAACTCAACTGCAGGAACAGGTCGGTGCCTTTGGACCTGAACATATTCTTGGACAATGCCTAGTTATTTGAATTCTAATTGTTTGATGATTAACTTTTTTTAAATTGAAATTGGTGAAAAGGATTTTGACTTACATTTTCCTCTAATGATCAGTGCCATGTACTTAATGTTGAGTGAACAAACAGAAGGAAAAAGATAAACTAAAATAACCCTCAACCCTACTACCTGGAAATAATCTCTTTGTGAACATGGGTTGTACAGCTAATCTCCTGTCTTGCATTTCTTCTTTTTTAAAATGGTACTTGTTTAGTAACTGTTTTCACCTAATGGTATGTCATAAACCAACCTTTAATTTCCTTACTCCCTTTTAAAGTCAATTTTTCACTTAGCCAGTGTTTCCAGAGTGCCTGTTCTGTGTCAGGCACAGGCTGGAGACTGAGGCAGTAGAGGCCCGCATGATGGGAGTAGCTTACCTGATCCTGTTGCTGAGAAATGTGTCTTCACCTTGAAAGTTTTCCTTCAGTGAGCCGTGGAGAGCTTGTGTGTCTGTGTTCCTACGTGGAGAGCTGGAAGTGTAAAACTCCAAGTCCTGCTGCTCTTTACATATGTCAAGCAACTCTTGTGCTGGAATGCAAGCTTATGTGTAAAGTCACCTCATGTTGCGCCTTATTTTTCAACTTATGACCTTTGATTTTAATGGTGAACTACTGTTTTGGATTTCCCTCTTACAGTTTGACAACTTAAATGCTGCCCATGAAACCTCAAAGTTGGAAATCGAAGCTAGCCACTCGGAGAAAGTGGAATTGCTAAAGGAGGCCTATGAAGCCACTCTTGCAGGCAAGATGCTTTCTCTTCTATTTAAATTGCAGAACATCTAATGGAACAGCATGATATGTTGGAAAACAGAACTGATTCACAGAACAGAGAATGCCCTCCAGAGAACACCTGTGGTGCCCAGTTTGGAGTGTTTTATTTTTTTCATTGTTCATTGCTTGCTAAGGACAATGTTAGGATGTCTGCATCCTCAAGGATACAAATAATAGTGTGATATAAATGCCAGCATTTTAGGAACTAGCACTTTTGAAGAACTTAATGTTGTTTTCAGCAGTGGTTGTGCTTCACCACTTTCAGTTTTAGGAAGCTGAAGGCCTCGGTTTATATCCTTGGCCATTCCCGGGGATCCATGCTGGGCACTCTCACTCACCAGCACTGCTGCAAAATATAGCTGCATTTGCTGAATAGAGTCTTTTTAAATTATTTCATCATGATTGGAAGGGTTGTAGTAGATGGGAAAGAACAAGCCATGTCTTTCAGAACATAATTGGCCATGTAGCTGAAATCGTTACACTCGTTTCACCCTACAGAGACATGAGTGGACACGTGGTAAGAACGAGTGCGTGGCCTTTGGCCTTTCTCATCAGAAAAAGAGAGCCGTTGTGTGAAGTCAAAGATGAGAACATGTAAAAGTAGTTGGCCCGCAGTAGACATTATTTTTTCCTTCCTGCTGGAAATGAGTTTAATTTTAGACTTCTGTTTGGGTCATGAAGAACAAATGGCAAAGAGCACAGAAGTTCTGGACCAGGAGTCTAAAAGCCAGTGTTTGAACCCTCCCCCAAGACTCTTGTGTGTGTTCCCTGGGCTTCCTGTGTTCTGTGGGCCTCTGCTGTCAGACATTAGATGGAATGTCTGTGCTCCTGCAGGGCTCATTTGACAGCAGATTGCTTAATGTACATAAAAGCCTCATACACAGACAATAGTCCTGTTGCTTTCTGAGCAACTCTTACCTGGGTGTGAAGACAGTGATCTCATAGGTTGTGATTGCCTAACAAATATTACTTCTTTCCAGAAATCAAGAAAAGCCATGAAATGGAAAAAAAATCACTTGAGGATTTACTTTATGAGAAGCAGGAGTCACTCGAGGTAGGTAAACCTCAGTAGCAAAAAAAAAAAAAAAATTCATTCATTCTTGAGATATGTGTGGGTTTTGGTATGTCTGTACATTTTCTGCATTCTGGTGTCTGCTTGTTAACTTAAGTTCCGTGTTTCATTGCTTGTGTTTTAGAAACAAATCAATGATCTGAAGAGTGAAAATGATGCTTTAAATGAAAAGTTGAAAGCAGAAGAACAAAAAAGAATATCAAGAGAGAAGGCAAATTTAGTAAGTTGTGCCCTTCTGTTACTACTGGAGGTTTTTCCTGCCCAGCTGCCTTTTGCCCTCTGCTAAGCATTTAACAGCTAGAGAGATAGTATGTGTTTGGAATCCTTTTCATATCTTGCAGCATCATTTTAAAACTGTAAGAGGCTTCTTTATTTATGGTGTCATTTTTTTAATTCAAAAATCTAATAAACAGATGAATCCCAACATATTGCATATTGGTTTGAGCTAAAACATACAGGAAGACAGATAATCTGTTGGTTAGGGAAAAGGTTTTATGTAAAGACTTTTCTTTTTGGTCTGTTTAATTAACAGCTGTAATCAAATATACTTTACACACCTTGAAATGAATACAATTCAGCAGTTTTAAGAATATTTATAAAGCTTTCTGGTATCTAATTCCAGAACATTTTTATTACCTCCCCCCCTAAGAACCCCTGTACATATTAACAGTCAGCCTTTCTCCATTTCCCTCCAAACTCCTCAGCCTCAGGGAACTACCAGTGTATTTTCTGTCCCTATGGATTTGCCTCTTCTGCACACTTCTTAAAAATGGAGTCATGCTGCATGTGACCTTTTGTATATAACTTCTTTGACTTAGCTCATGTTCTCAAGGTCCATGCATACTGTACTATGTAGGTCCTTCATTTCCTTTTGTGGCTGAAATCATTTTATTATGTAGAAAATGTTCACTTTTGCAAAATACAAATTCCTCTTGTAAGCTTAATTTGCTCTTACAACTTACATCCTTACTTCCCTACTCTGTGTATGTGTGTAAGCATGTGCTTTTGCTGTTGCTTCGATCTTTAGTATTCCCATGTTTGCTCCATATATCGTGACCTGAGACTACAGAAGAAGCAAAGCCATTTTGTCACTTAAAATCTGTTGTCCTCTCTTGAAGTACTTGTGTGGGTCTTAGTGATCCCTTTTGGAAAATGTTAGTGATTTAAAAAGAAAATTTAGACTTAAAAATCACCCATACACTGGTCAGGGTGTAAACTTTGCTGATATTTGGGAGAATAGATTTTATTTTATTTTATTTATTTTAATAATTTGACTTACTTTTTTGGGATTTATTTATTTATGCATACAAGAGCTGAGGTACAGGCCAGAGGTGTGGGGGTGAAAAGATTCACCAGAGACAGAGTGGGGAACAGGACATGCAGATTGACGAAAGTACACTGCTGAGGGGAGCAGCGGGCAAGACAGGAGAGGTCACTGTGCCATGTGGGTTGCTCCCTGGCCGGCCAGGGATCGAACTCGTGCTGCAGAAGTTATGGACAGCTTCATAGGTTGCGTCTTTAGCCTGTGTCTTAACCCCTTGTGCCACCAAGGAGGCCCTGGGGGAATAGATTTTAAACAGCTTTCTGGTACTGTAGCAGCTTTGAAAAATGGAAAAAGAGATTGAGGAAAGCAGGCATGTGTAATGCCTTCCCCCTGAGAGCATGCAGAAGGGGTAGAAACAAGAGCACATACTCACAGAGTGACAGAGAAGGGACAGGCAGCAGGGTTACCGGAAAAAGGTACACTGGGAACAGGGCTATAAATTCTGATTTTTTTTAAATTAACAGAGTAACTTATGCTGTTTCTTTTAACAAAACTGGGATATTATTATCTTCAGGGTAAAAAAAAATGTGAAAAATAATATATGTAACTAACGAAATTTTTGGAAGAGCTGGGTTTTGATCCCTGCCCTGGGACTTTGGAGTTCTAGAGCATTCTTTGGACAGGTCACTTAAGCAGTGGAATCCATTGTCTCTTTCTGTGAAATGAGGGGTTTGATTAATTAACCTCCCTGGGCCACTTTCCCTCATTGTCTCTATGGGTTGGTCCAGAACACTAACCATTGCCCAGGAGGATCGTTTTGATGATCTATACCTTTGATTCTTATCTAAGAAATGCCCTCATTGGATCGAACATCTGATCAGTAGCCTTGTGCTGTTCATTTGTATCATACATTTTGCATGGCTTCATTGAATTTCTATAAATAAAACCAGGAGTTGGGGGTCATCGAGACTCTGAGAATATCTCTCTTTATGCAGTGCTTATTTTGGATAGAATTTCAGCAGTGCATGTTCTATGTAGGTGTCAGAATGTCACCAAATAAAATGGTAGAGTTGGGGGAGAGAGATCAAAACAGGGGAGGGAAGAGCACAAGAGACTGTGGTGACAGTTCCTGGATGTCTTGGTGGTGATAGACCTGAGAGGAGAACTCAAACTTGTACAAAAATGAATGATGTAAAAATATGTATTTTTTTTTAAAAAAATAAAAATTATGTTAAAAAAATAAAAAATAAATGGTGGTGTGCCATGCCTACCCTGGAAATATGGCCAGCCCTATATAGTTCCACCTTGATAGAAATATAAAGGCTCAGGACATGATTGTCATTTCCATTGTTTTCCAGAAAACCCTCTAAATGTACTACATTTCCACTCCCGATTAGTTACTGACTTTGGTTAGAATTAACTGTTGTTGCCTTTTCTCCCTCCAAGCACCGGTAAAGGATGTGTAATCACCTAATCTCTACAGAGTTCTTTTTGAAATCTAAGCAATGTTTTTTTCTCTTATTTCCATTAAGATAGTTGAGACTATCAATACTTTTTCCATATTGTTACCGGTAAATAATTCATATACATACTTTCAAATGTGAAATGTTTTTTTTTTTTTTTATAATTTTTTTTTAAAGATTTATTTATTTATTTATACAAGCACTGGGTACAGTCAGAAGCATGGGAGGGTGAGAGAATTCACTACAGCCAGAGCGGGGAGCAGAGCAGGCAGAAGGACTGAAATACTCTGTTGAGGGGAGCAGCGGGCGGCAGGAGAGGTCTGCGCGCTATGTGGGACCCTCCTCCGGTGGCCGGGGAGCAGCTGGGGATCGAACGGGCGCTGCAGAGGCTGCGGGCAGCTTCGCAACCCAGCACTCAACCGCTGCACCACCGGGGAGGCCCCAAATGTGAAATGTTTTATTTCATTCTTACAATCATTTTGAGATTAAAGAGAGCCTTTGCTTTTCACCTGTCATTAAAACTACTATAAGAAGGTAAATGTCACTTGCTGCTTGTCTAATTTCTAGATATAACCAGAGATCCTTTATATTAAGAATTTGAATTATGAGTGTGTGAAATGATCAGTTAGAGCACTATCCTGCTGTGTCTTTTACAGAAAAATCCTCAGATCATGTATCTGGAGCAAGAATTAGAAAGCCTGAAAGCTGTGCTAGAGATCAAGAATGAAAAACTGCATCAGCAGGACATCAAGCTGATGAAAATGGAGAAAGTGGTATGTTTCTTTCAGATCGTTACCTAGTGGGATGTGAAATAGTAGCTAGAACTGTGGAGTTAGTTATTTTAACTGCTTCTAGTTTTAACTGCTACATTTTCTTTTCTATGCTCAAGGCTTATTCATTGCTGCCTTCTAGAGCATTTGTCTCATGAAGCTTTCCAAGCAGCATTTGGGCCTTGGGAAAACTGCAACAAACAAATTGGGCCTCATTTCAGTGATGTGTTACTCTTTGCCTGCGTAAAGTTTAATATAATGCATCACATCAGTATTTAAAATACCACTAACTCTTAGTGGGTTTCTTTTGCTCAAACAGTTGAATATGTAAATTAATCTCATTGGAGCAGTTCAGTCTCAAGATCCAAATTCTTCATCTTGCTCGTGGTGAATGAGAATGGGATAAAAGAATCATGCCTTATAAAAATTACTCCAGTTGAACAAATAATACAATGAAAAATATGGGTAAAGTTTAGTTTGCAGCCTCTGGGGCCAACAACCTGTGCTGGTGTATAACTAGTCTACCCAGAACCACGTATTTGGGCTGCACATTCAGTGAATCTTGTCCCAGCCCGGCCACACAGCTGCCAACGACAAGGAGTCAAACCAAGAGGGCAGGGTTTGGCGAGGCACCTAAGTGATCACAGCCTGTGTTGTACTTTGCTCAACTGTGCCAGCTGCCGGGCACTGCAGCCCCTCTCCCTTCAATTCTGATGACTCGTCATTGAGTAACCCCTCAGTCAAACCCAAACCAGCCCTCCACAGTAGGGAGCTGGAGGTCACCATTTGCTTTTTTGTTTGTTTGGGCTGTGGTGTTCAGTTTGGTCTGGTTCATTGTTATTGTAGTGATTATTACCCCTCTACTGAGGGGGATATGGGACTGAGGCCCCATGTTGATATATGGGCACTTAAAATTATCAGGAAACAGGGCCTCCCCAGAAGCACAGTGGTTGAGTGCTGGGTTGCGAAGCTGCTGGGCAAGGGTCCCACATGGCGCGCAGACCTCTCCTGCCGCCCACTGCTTCCCTCAGCAGTGTACTTCATCAGTGTGCCTGTTCTGTTCCCCGCTCTGGTGAATTCTCTCACCCTCCTGCGCTTCTGACTGTACCCAATGCTTGCATAAACAAATAATAAATCTTTAAAAAAACAATCACGAAACATGTTGTTTTTTAAGGGAAGGGAGCATCTCATGGTTTGTTAATTGGCCAAACCTAGTATATATACTAGTTCCTGTCAAAGGTCATCCATTGTATCAGGTCTCACGATCCTGTCTGGGTAGGCAACGTGACTCAAGTAGTCCAGTTGAGGATCTTTTGCTCCATCTGCCATGCATGCATCAAAACTTCAAAAAATCATGTGTGGTAAAAACATACTGTTATAGGGGGCCTCCTTGGTGGCCTAGGTGTTAAATCAGAGCTGTCACCACCATAGCCTGAGTTTGATCCCCAGCCAGGGAGCTAACCCACCTGTGGTGCAGCAGACTTCTCCTGTCTCACCTGCTGCTCCCCTCAGCATTGTAATTCAGTACCTCTGCCTGTTCTGCTCCCCACTCTCTCTGGTGAATCCTCTCACCCCCCACACCTCTGACCTACACCCCAGTTCTTCTACACAAAAATAAAATTACTTGCAGACTGCGATAAAACAATAAAATACATCAGCTCTGTTGAAAAGCACTTTTTGATTTATAGTTGCCTGTTAATTTTTTATTATAATTTTGTAATTATTTTTTCCCTACATTCCTCCTATAAGTGAAACCATCTGATATTTTTCTTTATCCTTCTGGCTTATTTCACTGAGCATAACCCCTTCCAGCTCCATCCATGTTGCTGCAAATGGCATGAGTTTATCCTTTTTTTTACTGCTGAGTACCGTTCCATTGTATATGTATAGACTACATCTTCTTGGTCCAGTCATCTATTTTTGGGCATTTGGGTTGTTTCCATAGCTTACCTATTGTAAAAAGTGCTGCAATAAACATAGGAATGCAGGCATTCTTTCGAATTAATGTTTTGTTTTGTTTTTTTTTTAAAGATTTATTTTATTTTATTTATTTATTTATACAAGCACTGGGTACAGTCAGAAGCACGGGAGGGTGAGAGAATTCACCAGAGCCAGAGCAGGGAGCAGAGCAGGCAGAAGGACCGAAGTACACTGCTGAGGGGAGCAGCGGGCGGCAGGAGAGGTCTGCATGCCATGTGGGACCCTCCTCCGGTGGCCAGGGAGCAGCCGGGGATCGAACCAGTGCCGCAGAGGCTGCGGGCAGCTTCGCAACCCAGCGCTCAACCGCTGCGCCACCGGGGAGGCCCCTCGAATTAATGTTTTTGTGTCCTTTGGGTAGATTCTAGGAGTGGAATTGCTGGATTATATGGCAGCTTCATTTTTAGTAGTTTGAGGAACCACCACACAGCTTTCCTTAGTGGTTGGACCAGTTTTCATTCCCACTAGCAGTGTAGGAGAGTTCCTTTTTCTCCACATCCTTGTCAACATTTGTTGTTGCCTGTTGTTGTTGGTTTTTTTGGTTTGTTTGTTTTTTTGATATGTGCCATTCTCACTAGTCTAAGGTGGTATCTCATTGTAAATCAGAGACAATCTGCAGGGGAGGGGCAGGGAGATGGATCAAAATTGGGGAGGGTAGAGCTCAAGGGACTATGGTGATGGTGCACAGGTGAATGGGTAATGGGAATTTTATGGGGACAACACCTGGGAAGAGAAAGCATGCATGTACAAAAAGGAAGAATGATGTGAAATATATATAAAATTAAAAAAACACTTTAATTTTTGTTAATCCATAAATATTCCTGTTTCTTGCCATGCCTAAGAAATAGTATATTAGCATTGCCTCATATATGCAAATGATTTGTTATGATAATAGGTAAACTCACTAATAAGTGGGTTTGTCAGCTCCTGGCCTTTGCAGAAAATAAGACACTTAAAAAAGCAAGGAGGCTTTCTTAATATGAAAGTTTTTGCCAGTAATCAGCTCTATGGCAACACTAAGCTAGTTTTCTCTTCCACAAATTGAACAAGAAAATGTTTTAAGATCACTACCCACTCTCTGATTCTAGATTTTTCCCACTTTGTATTTTATCTTGAATTCCTTTGTAATTACTAGAAATTCCAAGGACCTCCCTCTGTACCCCTCCCCTTTTTCTTTACATTCTAGTCTCATTTTAGGGAAAGTTACTTCACTTGCTTACCTTGTCCTGCATATTTTCAGTTATCAGGATATGTTAAGAACAATAGGACTCCAAACTAAAAGCTATAATCACAGCGGATTAGTTGATGGCTACAATGACGAGGTCTTAAAATTCATTCTGACAGTTATGATGTTGCCTCCTAAGTAAGTCATAAAATCTTACTTTTAGAAAGTAAGATGGGATGTAATCAATTCTTCATGTTAAGTGATTAAATGTCTTCTAGGATTTTATTCTTCAATATCTCACTTGGTCAATGTGTTTTCCTTAGAAGTTTAGCCTGGGCCAGGCTAGCAGAAAAACAGGTATCTCCAGCTGAAGCGAGAGGGTTTCTGTAGCCCTGCTTCCCCTCAGTTGTTGCTCTCAGATCTCTGTGAAGTGCTGCTTTCTGTGGTCGGTCAGAGGTAAATGCTAGAGTAACTAGGGCACTGCCTTTAAGGCCACATTAAATATTGACAGGAACTGTGAACTGCTGGCGTATGAGTTTTCATCAAATGTGGGAAATTTTTTTCTTCCAAAATATTCCATAAGAAGCTGTAATGCTCTGGATAAGCACAGGAGGTCTAACTGCTGTTTGGTTTTACTGCCTCGAAGCTGAAAGCAGCACTGCCCTACAGGGCTGCCCAGGGTAGGGCACTAATGCCAGCAAAATTCTTTAGCTGGTATGACTTGTAACAAATCAGTTACCCCCATGGGTATGCCAGTCTCCAAGTGACTGGCATACATTTTTACTTATTTTTTAATGAAGAACTATCATCTTACACATCCTTGTAAATATTTTTTTATAGTATGGGATTTCTCCCCTCACGTGTGGTGACCACAGCTCTCCCACCACCTCAGCACCCAGAGTCTCCCACCACAGTCCATCGTGCTCTCCCTCCTCGTTTTCACCCCTCACCCTTCTTTGCCCCTGGGCATACATTTGAAAAAATAATACCTACCCTAGTTCAGTCACATGTGTCAGCACCAATGATGATGATGAGGAAATCTGTGTTCCCTTCTGTCACGTCAGGTTATATTTGCAACATATCAGGGTGTAGCGATTTCAACATTCTGTTAGACTTTCCTTTTTTTTTAAGATTTATTTATTTATGCATACAAGAGCTGGGGTACAGGCCAGAGATGTGGGTGGGTGAGAGGATTCACCAGAGACAGAATGGGGAGCAAAACAGGCACACTGACTGAAATACACTGCTGAGGGGAGCAGTGGGCGGGACAGGAGAGGTCTGCTGCACCATGTGGGTTGCTCCCTGGCTGGTCGGGGATCGAACTCATGCTGCAGAGGCTGCAGATTGCTTCATATTGTGGTGCTTACCCCCTTGCGCCACCAGGGAGGCCCCCTAGACTTTTCTTAAATCTCTCCAAAGTGTGCTTTTGTATGGAATGTGCCTGACATGCCTTAAGAAATGAAAGGTTTTGTTTGTTTAATGTATAAATGTTGGCATTCTTGTTTATGCCAAGGTGGATAACAACACAGCATTGGTTGACAAATTGAAGCGATTCCAACAGGAGAATGAGGAATTAAAGGCTCGGATGGACAAGCACATGGCAATTTCAAGGTAAAACCTAAATAGTCCTCATTTTCCTGGAGCTGCTGACTTCTTCCAACACTAAACATTACTTTCTTGCCACTCTTGACTCACATATCTCCTGGAAACACATTTGGCGGGGCTGGCTACAGGGTACTATCCAAAAATTACTGTAATTACTATCCAAAAAACCATGATTGTAGGGCTTTATGCTGTTACCACATCAGCCTAAGCAGGCAAGCCTCCCCTGACCCCACCCGGGCCCCCTGGCTTACTGACACTTAGAATACATTCAGAGAAAGAACATCACAGGACCAAATAGGAAACAGCCCCGAACATAAGACAGTCATAGCCATGCTGAGTGTGTGTGGCAGTGTCACCCAGCCTGCTATGAAATTGCCCCCCAAAGTGAGCTTTTCTTTTGGTTCAGCTCCCACTTCCAGCCAGTACTCGTGCCAGGTAGTGCAGTGCAGGACTCCCTTTTAGTCCAAAAGGATAGTTTTTGTTGGACTCAATGCTTTAAAATGATAAACTTCTTTCCTATTATTTAACTTAAGATCCGCATGGTACTTGACTCTTTCTCCTCTTTAAGGCAACTCTCCACCGAGCAGGCTGTTCTGCAGGAGTCCTTGGAGAAGGAGTCGAAAGTCAACAAGCGACTCTCCATGGAGAATGAGGAACTGCTGTGGAAGCTGCACAACGGGGACTTGTGCAGCCCCAAGAGGTCCCCCACGTCCTCCGCCATCCCCTTCCAGTCACCAAGGAATTCTGGCTCCTTCCCCAGCCCCAGCGTTTCACCCAGATGACCTTTTCCCAAGCTGGGAGACTGTCTGAAAGCCTTTTTACAGGTCCGCAGGGCTGACCTGCACCGGAGCAAGAGCTATATTAGCTGACGTGTAGTCACAACAATCGAACTGGAAAGTCACCACCCCCAGAATGGGCTCCTTGTAAGACTGGAACTCTGGAGGGAGACTTTTGACTTGGTCCAAGAGACTCCTCCCCAAAAAGATCTCGGAATTTGATCTCCATGGACGCTGTTGCACAAAGCACTTAAGGAACGAGACCTTCTTGTTCATTGCCTTTTTCACCTAAGCATAAGGGGAAAAACTCTCAGGGGCCTATTAAGATAAAGATTTATAACCTTTATAATGTTCTTGACCACAGACACCTTCTTGTGATTTTTATTTTGGTCTGGCTGGGGATGTGTGAATGAAAGGGATGTAACAGTGTCCTGTGTCTGCTGCTGCCTCCTTTGCTGTATAGTAAGAGTGGAAAGCTGATTATATCTGGATATATACTAATCAAATAATAGTCAGTGTATGCAGTTCAGCAAAAGCCATAGAAGAGCAATAGTTGCTTTAATTATGATTCCTTACCACCAACTCCGCTCAGCCCTCTGACCTGGGAGGGGAGGGAATGACCAGAAGAGCTTTGACATGTCCACATCTGGACATTCCCCGTACCCTTTGGAGTAACTTCCTGGCAGTGTTTGTGTTTAGCCTTGTCAGTTGAAAGTAGCTCCATTTTTTTTTCTTTTAGATTTTTAACTTGTCCACGTAAACCTAATATTATACTAAGATCCATCTTCTCAGGCAATGAGCAAGTATAGAACCCAAATTTTTCTACAAATCTGTATAAAGAAAAAGGGCAGTAACAGTGGGGTTTTTTCCTGCCTTATTTTTCACCTTGATCTCAGTTGTCTTCATGAGTTTGAACTGTCTTCTCTCCCATTATCCTCATCTTCTCTCCCTCTCCCTCTCGAGAGCCACAAAAGCAAACCTTCTACCTCCTATACTTATATTTCTCTGGGACGAGGATAAAAACTAAGCTTTTCCAGAACCAGCTCATCTTCAAGGTGCTGAAACCACTTTCTAAATCAACTAATGCCTGGATCTGATGGTACAAAGCTTGGAAAAACCCTGGAGAGGATGAAGAACGAGAGAGTCATTGGTTAACAGAACTGAGATGAGATTCAGTGCTTATTGATGAACAGGAGCACCTTGATTAAACCAGTGATGCAGTATTTAATAGAAAAAGAGTCTGGTGAGATAACTAAGTTTCCACGTATCCCTTGAAGAATTCTGCCCTTGGGAAGGTAGCTGAAGGCTTGGCAACAAAGTAGAAAATGTACCTTGTACAGCTCTCCTCCAAGCTGCATTATCTTTTTTAAAAATTTAGTACCTCTCCCAATTCTAATACATTGGGGGAGGTGGAAGGAAGAACTCTGTGGCTTTGTCTCTCTGTCCTTGCATGTGTCAACTTTGTGATGTCAGTATTTACTAACCTGCGTTGCTGGCATTTGATGACTCTACAAATAACCCCCCTATAGTAAAATACTGAAGGGGGATATTGGGCCATCATTTACATGTACACTCAGTGCAAGTTAATATTCATGATGCATGTTTATTGGCGAATTCTTTAACCTTCAATAGTTTGTTTCAAATACAGCCAGCCTTGTTTGCTTCTGATAAATGGAAATGTAGGTTCACTGCCACCTCCTCATCCTTCCAAGTAACTCTCAGTGTCATCAGCCTAAGTTGGGTTAGCCATTCATCCCTTATGCATGTAAATCTTGTGCTGTTCCCTGCTGTCCTCCATGCCATTTAGGTGTCTGGGGAAATCAATCTTACAAAATTTAAATAAGAGAGAAGATAGGAAACAAAACAGATCTTTGATTTTTTTTTTTTCCAAACCAAATGTTTCATGTAGGATGCAAAATGTTGGCACTTCATAAAAATATGAATGTGTAAACAGCTGTAGTTGTGCTCAGTTTGTAGTGATTAAATGTGTATTTTATTTACTTTGATCAAATAAATAATGCTGGAATATTCAATATAAGTATTGTAATCTCTAGCATTCTTCTCCCTCCAAAGTTTTGTCCAGTATATAGCCTTTCTTACAGCACAGGTGTTGACATAATGTCTTCTGGTAAGTTACTTTTTTCTTTTCAGAAATTTCCAATGTAGCCACAAACTCGGTCATGGGCTGAGATTTGGCTCATGGAGCTAGACATAGAGGTAAGTTTTTCTTTTCTAAATTCAAAACTATGTTGTGTACTTGAGAAATTTTGACTGGTTTTCACTTTCTGCATGCTATGTAAGAAAACTAGAACTGCCATGGTCTAATTTGACAATGGTATAAAAGTAAGCAAAGTTGAATCTTCTTTGCATCTATTTTATATTGCAAGTTAAACCTGACACATGCTTTGGTCCTTACTGAATAGACTATTCCAGAATTTAGTACTTCTGAGAGTAGCAACTTTGTTTTAAAAAGCAAGGTTTTTTTTTGTTTTTAATTTTTTATTTTTTTTTATAGAGGCATGCTTATTTATTTATTTGTTTTGTTTGTTTATACAAGCACTGGGTACAGTCAGAAGCACGGGAGGGTGAGAGAATTCACCAGAGCCAGAGCGGGGAGCAGAGCAGGCAGAAGGACCGAAGTACACTGCTGAGGGGAGCAGCAGGCAGCAGGAGAGGTCTGCGCACCATGTGGGACCCTCCTCCGGTGGCCGGGGAGCAGCCGGGGATCGAACCCGCATCGCAGAGGCCTCGGGCAGCTTCGCAACCCAGCGTTCAACCGCTGCGCCACCAGGGAGGCCCAAAAAGCAAGTTTTTTTTGTATCACTAGATTTTTAAATCACATTAGCTTTAAAATTGCAATTTAAGGATTGCTACTGAGGACAAAAATGATAGGCCTAAGCTTTCAAGCCTTGAGTTGCTGATCATAGATAAGTAGTTGAGCTCTGTTACTGCTATTTTAGATTCTCATCTCATTGCGGTTCTATCAAATAGGATATTAAGTATTGACACAGACATTGCTGGCAAGAAGTCCTGGGTGTATATCCAGCTGAGTCGAGAAAGAGAACTTAGCCCATTTAATATTTTACAAAAACTTGCACCTTTATTGGAAATGATTAGCATTGTTGGCATATATGCTTTTAGTTTAAAAACTAGACGCACATATGCGTAGGTAAGCAATAAAAATACATGCTTTGGTAGAAGAGTTAACACTTCTATTATTAGACTGGATGACTTCCTTTAGTTGGGTGTCTGGGTCTGACTCCAAAGGCAGGGGTTGGGGTTTGGCCTTTCAGATCAGCCTCTGGCAAAGCCCTAGTCAAAAGAACCCCAAAGTTGGATGTTTACACTAATGGGCTTTCCATCAGTTCATTATACTTCATTTTCCAAGTCAGGAAAAGTCAACAGTGGTAGCTACCGTAGTCTGTCCTTGGGGATTCTGAGCCGTGCAAATGTAATATCCTGCATCAATGGTCTCGGCATCTTCAATGGTGATGACACTCTGCGAGATTCTCGTGGTGTGCCCGAGCCCTCTGTGGATCAGCCTCCAGGTGTCTTGAATTGTCACGGGCCTTTCCTCCTGTTGAGGGACACCCACACAGACTGAATTGGAGATGACCAGCTGCTGTCAACAGCTCCCATTTACCCAGCACTGGTGAGTGTTTTTTTTAATTTTTATTTTAACATTTATCATTTTTTGAATTTTTTAAACAATATTTGCTTCCCCCACCCCTCAGGTGTAGTCCCCATAGTTTCCTTCCCCAGTGCACCCGTGCACCATCACCTCAGCCCCCTGTGCTCCTCCCTCCCTCTGATCCCTCTCCCGCCTCCTCCCCTGCAGGATGTCTCTGGTTTATAATTGTATGTTTTTGCTTTGTTGTGTTTTGTACTGTTATTATTTTTTTTAACACTCATGTCTTATTTGGATGGTGCTAGAAGGACTTATGCTCAGTGAAATAAGCCAGAAAGAAAAAGAAAAATATAGGATGGTTTCACTTATAACAGGAATATAGGGGAACCAAATAAGACATCAGTGGTATTTCTTTCAGAGTGCAAAACACAGCCTTCTAGAAGTCTGTTTGCTAGGCCTAGCTCATGGGAACTTTTACCCTGTGTGATATTTTAGGCTGCTGTTTTCCAAAGCTGTTTGGCTCTCTTTATGCCCTTTTGTTATTTCTATTTAGTATAAAATCAATACTTTTGGAATTCCAAGATGTAGAACTTGTATTAGACATAGATTTTCACCCCTCACTAAGTACCTCTTAATACCATCCTTTATGACAAAAAGGAGCCTGAAGTGCTCCCTGTGTAAATGAATAAGAGCTTGTTCAGATTGGGGCGGATTAGTCAACATGCCACGGTCTCCAGTGAAAGAAAAGTTGTACCAAAGATGGATTATATGATGCTCTAGATGACGTACTGCCCTATTTATAGAAAGTGAGAGCGTCACTTAAGATGTTTTATCAAGCTCTGTTTTTCTGGACTAGTTCTGCATTATTGTAATATTTATAGAATTACTAAATTATGTCCTTTCTGCTCATAAAATATCAGCAACATAAAAATTCTAAAGAAGATCATTGTCTGCTACGTGTGACAACACTTTTGAAAAAACAAGTACCTAGAACTAGGATGCTGGAAATTACCTTTCTCTAGGGAGAGCTATTTTCCATTAAGCACAACCTTTAAGCCAGAAGTGTATTGGCTGCTGAGTACGTCTCAAATCTCTCTGGCAACAAAGGGATTATTCCATGTTAGTAGCAAAGCTGTTTATTTTAGTGAGCAGGACATGAATAGAGGCTCGATATGCCATAGCTGCTTTTATGGAAAGTCTATTTCAAAATGATCTCTGGCCTCACAGCACCTTTTTTGACAGGGCTGAGCCACCAGGTGTCTGTGTGGAGCTGTGGAGGGCACAGCTGGTATGGAAGGGAAGTGAAGGACCCAGGAGGAGGGCCACTGGAAACTGACCTCCAACTGCTCCAGAATTAAGGTTGGGAGGTTGAGGAAGAGGGAAGCCTCCTGACTCCCCTTTTTGGCCCTCTCCTTATTTGATGATTAAGAAAAATCACATATGAAGAGGGTAATGGAACCGTTATTTTTCCTGTCTTTTTTTAAGTCATTTGTAAGTGTCCTGTGATATCTTTAAAAAAGACAAGCAAGGTCTGGCTCCCTACCATAGGCCACGCCTTTCTTGCACTTAAGTGATGGTCTGTATCACAAAACTGAATTGAAACGGCTGGCTGTTAGGTGGGCAGTGCTTACCTTCTGCCCTGGGTAGATCCACCTGAACTCCACCTCCACATCTGGTTCCCCCAGGACAGTGCAGAGGACACGGATGTCACCCCCACCTTTCACTTTGTTGGAGGATGCCAGGATGGTTGTAGATGGAGGGCCACTGGGAACTGGAAGTGAGCAGAGGAAAAGTGAGGTGACATCATGAGTATCGTATGACGAAAGCCTACAGCGCTGTTCTGTTATTTGGATAGCCATGTAGCAGATGTGCTGGTCTTCCAGCTTCCCCGTTAGTGCCTGACCTACTCTGTCCACCCTTCTGGGTTTTCTTTGAAGCCTCTCCTCTCTTTCTTGGTGGTCTAGATCAGGTAGAATGCCAGCAACTAGGCATGGAATTGGGGGAAGAGGATAAAAATTCTACCAGGGTGCCCCGTGAAGGAAATAAAAAAGCTGAGGCAGGAAGTGGTATTGGGGAATAGCAATGGAACATGGAGAAGGCAGCTAGAGAGAGGGTGGAGATGAGCAGGTAGGTTGTGACTGTCTCTCCCCAGGGGAAGTCTAAATACTGATTAGAAAGATGTTTGCAGAGTCTTTATTTCATAGCATTTCAGAAGTAAATTTCAATGTGGTCAGCACACGCAAGTAATTTTTGGCAAACTTGAGCAAGGTGATGTGCTAGGGGCCGCAACTATAGCAGCAAACCAGACCGAGCCCAGTCGCTGAGCCCATGGAGCCTCTGCTAGTGGAGGAGGCAGACGCTAAGCCAGTCATTCTATGGTTAATTTTAGACTTGAGTTGTGTTTAGAGCTATAAGGAGAAGCCCAGAGTGCTCCGGAAGTTAAGAGACAGGAAAGGCTGCTTTGAGGAAGCAGTGTTTAAACTAAAATCTGAAGAGTGAGCTTACCAGGCATGGAGGGAACAGTGGGGGAAGCTATCCCTGGGGTGGGAATGGCAGTGAGCAGAGTCCCCAGGGGGAGGTGGAGGGAGGCCAGGGCATGTGAGACTTTTCAGGTCACATGAAAGCTTTTGACCTTGTTTCTAGGAAAATCACTGAAGGATTGTAACTCAAATCATAATGAGCTACAGTGTGGGAAGTGGAAAAAGACAAGTTGGACTTAGGGGGAGGCCAACTGGAAAGGAATCCACATCAGTCCAAGGAAGAGATAATGATAACTTGAAGGCTTTGCAGTGAGGATGGAGAGAATTTGGAAGCAATTTAATGGAAAAAGTCAAAAAGATGGAGGCAGGAACATCAAGTTGATTTGCAGGCTTGGGTCTTCCCCGCAGGTAACTGGAGAACCCTGCTGAGGCAGGGACAGCTGAAGAACCATGCTCAGGGGAGCTGCGACACATCTAAGCACAGGTATTTGTTACAAGTTGGTGGGTGAAGCTGAGACACATTTACTCATCTCAGACGTATTAGTGAGAGGCGATTAAAGGGAGTGGAATATAGCTGAGGCAGAATATAGCTGGATGAAGACAGGCGCTGTGTGCTGTATTTCATAGTGTTGGAGACCCTAGCCAAGCTGTTAGGTGGCTAGAGGGGAGAAAGCCAGATGGAAGCATGCTAAGGAGAGGTGGGGGTGGGGGGGAGGAAATGGCCACCAGGAATGTGGAGAGTAGAAAGTAGAGGTGAGGATCAGTGTGGAGAAGGGGTCAGGGACCCTGGACACTCAGTCTCAAGTACGAGACTGTGATTGGGGATCTGACTTGGTGGCTCCCAGGTTAGTGGGTTGTACTGTTGACAGGTTGACTGAGGGAAGGGGTGTGTGAGGCAGAATGGATAAGGCAGTCAGTGAAACAGGTCAGTGGGTTCCAAGGTGAGTCTGATGTCATCCTGAGAATGGAGTGACAAGACCATCAATGAGGTGAGTGACTAGAAAGTGATTACTAAGCTGGTCTAGCCTTGAGCCACAAGTCTTAGGAGAGCAGAGGGTGTGAGTGGACGGTCCCCTGAGGAGATTTTGTTGTAGCCAAAATCTGCTAAGTGTTTGGGGAAATTAGAGAATTGCTCAAGTAACAGGTGGAAGGATTTGGATCACAAGTGAGGAAGTAGAACATTCTAGAAATGACAGTCCTGTAAGAACCGCAATCTTTGCTTCCTAATTTCCATCTTAAATAGTGGAGAGCAGTACCTGAACTGGCTTAACTGCAGTCTGAGGCCTGGTAGGGAACAGGCTTACCTTCCACATAGAGCAGATGGTACTTGATGGAAATCTGAGATTTGCCCTCAGCTTCCGCTTTGCAGTAGACCACCCCCTGTTGGTCAGAATGAGGTTGCAGGTACACAAAGCCTCTCTTCATGTCATAAACAATGTCTGTTCCATTGGCTGGGATTTCCTTGGCTGGGAACTCCCTGTGGAGTGTGACTTTGGCTGACAGGACAGTGACTCTACAAGGAACCACAGCCTGCCTGTCTGGGTTCAAGTAGACAACTTCAAAGTAACTGGGAGAAGGTACAAAGAGTTCTCCTTTCTCTGTAAAGGGAAAGACACAAGGTAAGAGGACTTTAAGGACTCACTCAGGGCTCAAAGAAAAGGGAACCAACAATATACTCACAATACTGAGTCTCTATGAACAGAATAGAGCTGTTTCTAAATGCTTTTCCTCTTTCAAAAGGATTTTACTCCACATTTCCTTAAGGAAAACAAAGCAGGTATTTCTTTAGCCCAAGTCAGGGGCCCAGGGATTACCCCACTTGAGGAAGGAGACTGCATTCTTTAAGAGCAACTTTTAAACCTGTGAATATCTGCTGTGTCCATGTAGAGAAATTAGCACCATAGTTTATGCTCAGTAACTTCTGTGCAGAGACATCTGCCAACACAGCAGTGTCTGTGAGGCCAGCCCACTGTGGGTGCTGGTGGCTTCATCCTTCCTCATTGTGCCCAGGGGGCCACACTCCTGCCAAGGTCAAGTAGGGACAGATGAGGAACTGCCAAGCTCAGGATCTGAGCAAGGGACCTTCTGTCTGAATCTTACTCTATTTCCTCTGAAACTATTCTATTCTTGAAGCTCAAGATGATGGCATTTTCCTCTTGCAGAAATGAGGATGGGTTTGCCCACACTTCCCTCAGGACAAAGAACTCTAACTGGGTTTTTTGGTTTTGTTTTTTGGCATAGGACATTTAGTGCTTTGTTTTCTAGATCATCCTGCACAGGGATATTATAGTAACTGCTAAGAAGTCTTCGAAATTAATCACACCCCAGCATTTGTTAAACTTCCCTATGGTTTTTTTCCTCAACATTCCTGAAACAAATCTGTTTTTGACTTTCTCCTTCACTAACCTTCTTTATGCCACTGTCTTATGTGCTAAGTTGGGGACAAAATCCGTGGATACATCGACTGTCTTCATAGACCAAGAGTTTTTGGCAGCGAGTGCCACACTCACTCATGCGGAGGTTTGTCCCTGGCTCTGAGATCAAGGAAGAGCAGGTCGTAGATCAGCAAGTCTGTCCGTGTCAGGTTATTTGTGCCACTTCATGATAAATTGACTTTCAGGCTTAGGCTGGGGGCTCCTTCGTCAGTGTTGTACCTGACACCCCAGGGTTCACACAGAGTAAGTTAATAGGGCCCTGGGGTAGATATACCACTGAGCCTTACTATGTTTCAACAGCCCCATTTGTAAAGAGAAAAATCTGGAGGTAACTTTTTAACAAAAACATTTATGGAACTTACAACCAAAATTGCCTTCTAAATCTTAAGGTTTTGTGGAGGAATCTGAACCAGTGGGCCAAGCCCGTGGAATAAGTGTCCAGTCTCCATTTCAGAACATTAAAGTGTGGTAGGACTTCTTACAACACATGCTTTTAAAGAAGTGACCACCAATTTCTTGAACAAACAAAAAATGTATCTGTAATCAGGAGATTCCATTTACTAAAAAATGTGTGACATTTACTTTACAAGTTGCAGATGGCATGGGCTCCCTGCAAATGTTTTTATCTATTCCTGTGGATGCCAAATACTACTTTAAGAAACTAAACACATGGGAATGTAGGTTTACAAAACGTTAAAGTTAATAGGCTGTAAACTGAAATACAAATTATAACAAACTCCATAGTTAGTTTACAACATAAAGGGGCCTCTTGCTGGCAACCTTCTCCTTGACCTGGGTGGTGGTTACATGTGTATGTGCACTTGAGGATAATTTACTGAGCTATCTATGGTTTGTTTCTTTTTCTTTGTGTATGTCCTACTCCAACACAACTTTAGGAAAAGGGCATCTGTGGTTAATGTTGGTGAGTACTGACTGTTCAGTACTTCCCTGGGCTTGGGAGAACTTGCTTCCTTTATTTATACCTAGGAATTGATGTGATGGCATTCAGTAACAAAGGAAGTCTTTCCTCTATGCTGTTTTTGTAATAATTAACTGTCAAAAATGACAGTTAATACAGAAATTTCTGGCCTTTCCCTAATTCTAGTGTTTGATTACAAGAGCTGAAAAGAATGTGCAAGTTCCATATATTGAGATTTTTTTTTAAAAAGCTAGAACAAACCTTGTCTGAGAACCTTCTGAATAAATATTAAAGATAAACTATACAAATTAACAGTCAAAAAGAAGCTCCACAGTGTTCTCAGCCAACCCCTAAAAGCAGACAGACATCACGGGCGCCAGCCTCCTCCGTGAGGGTGGTGGGGGAGCATGTGCTCCAGAGACCGCCCCACCACAGACCGAGCTAGCCGTGGGGGCTCAGCTTCCTTAACACCCCATCTTGGTTCCCAAACCCACTCATGCCTGAAAAGACAAACTACTAAACCCTATGCCGAAGTCCAACTGGACTCACGGTGCTGAGGGATGAGAGATGAGAAAACATATTAGGTCCTATTCCTTTTTTGATCCAGGTATATTGAAAGCTGAATTTTTTTTTTTAGTCTGCCTTTGAGTCACAAGAAGGCTTTCATTCATTAGAGGCCATACCCCTGGTAGGACATTGTGATCAATGTGTCAGTTGAAAAACAAATACTCAGAAAGATACACCAGTGCTAATCTTGCTATGTTTCAAATTGCAGAATGAAGATTCTTTGCCATCAGTCCTTGTCCAGAATAACACACTCTTACTAGACTTGATTAGCTGCCATGGACACTGTTGCTCCCAGTGTGAGGGGAGCCTAGGGGCACCGGACCACGTGTGCAGCACATTCCAAAACTAGAATCAGATGGCGTTACCAATGAACAACAGTTAACAACGCTTCCGAAAAAGTCGACTATGTAGCTAGTATTTACCCGACTGTCCAATCTATCCATTACCTTGTCCTATGAATGCATGAGGACAGTAAGAACACAGGATCCCAGTTCAGAGTAACGGTTTGACTCACCACTTGGCCACTACAAGTTATGGGACACTGAGTTACCTGCCCTGTCCGGTCTCACAGCAACACCATTACTTCTCATGCAGACATTTAAAAGGTAGTTTGTACTTATGACATGACATGCATCTGCTTCCAGAACTACAGCATGCTCTGCTGATGCATCTGCTTGTCAAACAGGAACTCTTTGGGCAGATAGATGAGATTTTGCTAAGGATTCATTAATGGCCAGGACCTAAGAACATCTGCATCACAGACCTAAGTCACTGTAGGTCTGAAGGAGAAATGGATCAAGAACAGACATAAGTCAGGAATGCCCCTGCCCGACACTAAGGCACTCTAGCTTCACCTGAATTGTGCTGTGCCAGGGGCAGCATTGGTAAGATTCTTGAAAGCTGTTTCTGACCTTTGAACCTTGTAGGAGAATATTATCCCCCCAACTTTAGAGAGCTCTGAGGTGGAAGAGCCTGGGAAAGTACTCTGCAATGCCTGTTTCTCCAAGAACAAGTTGCACCTGACAAACACGTCTAGTCCTGCAGGGGGGGAGCGACCTGCAACTTGTCAGGCACATCACTTAGGCATCTGCCTCCAAAATTTCAGCTCACAGTACTCATAACAAATGGAGAGTGTCATTTAGTGAGCCTCCCTATGACTATGGAGCTTCCAAAAAGGAGAGCAGCATGGGTTCTGTGTATGATGACTAAGTCCCCAGCAGAGCATTCTGCCGTGGTGGGCATGCCTCCATCTGCACTGGCTGCAGGAGCACTTGAAAATGGGCAGTATCACTGAGGAACGGTTTTTAAAATTTTAATTCTAAAGAGTCTGACATGTCTAAAGGCTAGAATATTGGACGTTCAGGTACAGGCTCCAGAAGCAAATAAGTACAGGTTCAAATCCCAGTCAAGTCTCTTATTTGCAGTATAAACTTAGGATCTTATCAAATCTCTCCAAACTCAACTTTTCCCTTGGAAAAAAAGAAAATCCATTTGCACTTACCCTGAAGAGTAGCTGGGAGTTGTACTAGGACCATAATTGATGTAACACATTAGGCCCAGAGAGAGGGAGAGCTAAACAGTGAGTACAATTAGTTGATACTCAGCAGTCGGTGGAAACCTTTAATCTGAGCTAAGTACAGACGTCCTGCAGATGACACTACTGCACTAAGCATTTTACCTGTAAACAAGATGTAGGTGGAGCCCTGTCTGGCCTCATCCCTCCTGCAGATGTAGCCGTCACAGAGCTGTGCCCAGCAGCTGAATTCGCCAGTGTCGGCCGCCGTGGAGTTGACCAGGGTGAGCTGGCTGTAGCGTGCGTGCTGCTTCACACTGTCAGGGAAAGAAGTGAGCGCAGAGTCAGTCTCCTGGGCCAGAGGCCTTGCAGCCATTATTGTCTGCCCTATTCTTCTCAGATATAACCCCCTGGTCACTTGGGAGTACCCTCTCTCATGTGGCACAAACTAATGAAAGTGTGCGGGGAGGGGGAGCAGGAAGAAAAGCCTTTCCTAAAAGGAAATAATAAATGACAATTATGTTTTCCAGAAAGAGGAAATTCTCTTCAACCTCAGCACTAGGGTTTCCTTAAGTAAAATCTGTACATCAGCACAGTCGATGTGAATGAAAGCATACAGCGTTACCCAGTGTGCAAACTCTGACCAATAAGGACAAGCCTCTGAATGTGAGCTTGGAATCTTTAAGATTCTACATTATTAAATTTAAAATGTTGCTTGGCGGTGGGGGAAGGATGCATTGATTGCTAAGAGGCTGAGCCCCAGGTACACAGCTCACACCTAAGAAAGGGTTGGGCATTCATGCTTCTCTGACCTCACCCTGTGATTTCTACTTTTACTTTCTTGGTGTTTCTTTTTTTAATGTCATGAGTTTAAACAAATTTGTTATTAAACACTAGTATTAGCCCCATCTGGTAACTGTGTTCCACTGCAATAGGAATCCAAATGTATCACGCTTGGGTCAGAGGCTTCCCTGTGGCTGAGGAGGCTCACCCTGTGCACATTCCAAAATAAATGGTTTTAACCTGAGAATGCATCTTTGCTATCTCAGTGTTTCAGCCCTGAGCTTGCACACTTTTCTGATGTAGAGAAGGTCCTGCTGTTGTGGGTGCTAGAAACACCAGAGGGGCCAGCACACAGCAAAGTGTCTGGCTGGTTGGCTCCAAACAGCCTGTCCGGCACAGCCCTCAAGAGCTGTTTAGACAACCGGCCCTGCCAAGAGGTGCCTCTGTCCACCCACTCTATCAACTGCCTCCTTTAAACAACGGAAATCTCTCCTCCTTCAGGAAGCTTCTAATTAGAATCGACTCTCAGGAATCTCCCCCACTTTCTCCTAGTGACGTAATTGACTCCCTTGTTCTCTAACCCTTAGATTCCCTCAACTTCCTGTTATTTTATGATAGTCAAAACTTTGAGGGCAGGAACTGTGCCATATTTGTCTTATACTCCCTAAACAACAAATCTGTGCAGAGTTCATAGTAAGGATTCTCTCCCAATATGTGGCTTGAAAGCACTTTTCACCACACTGTTGAAACTAGAAAGAGCCTCAAAACCAGGCATCCAGCCCCCAGCATTGCAGATAAAGAAACTATCCTGCACTGCTGGTGGGAGTGCAAACTGGCCCAACCACTATGGAGAGCTGCGTGGAGATTCCTCAGCCTACTAAAGATAGAGCTTCCATATGATCCAGCAATTCCACTCCTAGGTATTTACCCAAATGACACAGAAACATTAATTCCAAAGGACACCTGCACCACTGTTTATAGCAGCACTATTTACAATAGCTAAGCTATGGAAACAACCCAAATGCCCCAAAATAGATGACTGGATCAAGAAGATGTGGTACATATACACCATGGAATATTACTCAGCATTCAAAAAAGATAAACACATGCAGTTTGCAGCAACATGGATGGAGCTAGAAGGATCATGCTCAGCGAAATAAGTGAGAAAAAGAAAAAACACCGGATGGTCTCACTCATAGCAGGAATTTAGAAAACCTAAATCAGGGACCAGGAAAAAGACTAATTAATACAAAGTAAAAATCAAAATCAACAAGCAACTATAAACTAGAGACACACTACCAGGGTGGGAGGCGGGGAGAGGAAGGATTAGGGTCAAAATAAGGGGGGTGCAATTGTATGGGGAATATAAACAAAATGAAAATGCATACATTGTGCAAAAAATGAAAAATGATGTAAGAATTATATAAAACAAAATATTTAAAAAATAAAGTCTTGGACAGAAGTGATTATCCCCGAGACCCACAGCTGGTGCACAGCTGAGCAAGTCTTCCTTAGACAAGTAGGTACCGAATAGCCACTCATTAGATGAGAATTTCATGCCATGCCTGGGGCATTGCATTATCCTAATTATCTCTTAATCACATGTAATAAAAGATGAGTCACAGTGACTGTGAACACTACTACAACGAGTAATACACACCCAGCATTGGGAATAGCACAACAAATAAAATACAGTGGACCTCAAAGATATTACAACCTGCTTAAGGAGTTAAATCTACTTGAAAAGATCAGAGTAAACGTAAGAGTCCTCATAAAAACAGGAATTCTGAAGAAGGATTTAGCATTGTAGGTTGAAGAGGTTGGAGACAGCTTTGAGGGGGAGGTGACAAAAGCTGGACTTTGAAAGGTGAGGGTGGAGGACAGGGACTCAAGGGGGCTGAGAGGCAGTGCGCGCTCCTGCTCAGGAAGCATCAACCCCACGGGGTTGGCGGGGACTTGGTCTATTCCATCAATGCTGGGGCCAGTGGGTGGAAGGCTCAATGGTCCAGGGATTTAATCCATCAACTGCAGGAGACAAAGGCAGCGGGGTGGTAGTCAAGCGGCGCCTGGTGGGGAACAGTGAGAGGGAGACCTATGGCACTCACCAAGCAGCAGGGACCACCCTGAGTTTGAGAGGTGGGACGTGATGAGCCCACCTGAGCCAGAGCAGGAGCAGGAGAGACTGAGCTGCTGCTCCCTGCTGAACAGGACTGGACGCTGGCAGTGGGATGGAGGCAAATTCAAGGAATGTTTTCTTGAGGAAAATTATTGACAGACTGAGCATAAGCAATGAAAGACACATCAATAATGGCCATTCCATCGGTATTTCTGTGAGCTGGAAAGAATGGGGTTTTAACTGACTGAAATGGGTTGATTGAGAAAAGAGATGGTGTAAGCAAAATAATTCACTATTTGGGATCAAATGTGGGTCATTTAAGTATAGATGTCCTATGAGCAACTGGAAACACAGACCTAGTACAGAAGAAATAAAACAACACTAGATTTGTATTTGAGGGAATTAGAAGCCAAAGGAATAAATAGCAAAAAGCACAGAAGAGAAGGTTAAAGACCAGATCTAGAACAAAACTTGGGAGCCAGAAGGAAGAGGTAGATGCGTGAAGAAGCAGGAAAGGGATGAATAAAGGAGAAAGATTTGAGGCCTTGTGGCGCAAAAGCATCAGATGCCTGTAAGATTCATGACCCACCTACCCCCCCTTAAGCCCCCCCACACACACTTTCTTTGGCAGAATGTAAGTTTTTCACAACCATCAAAAGAAAAATTTCAGTTGTGATGAGGACCTTGGATTTCTGCAAACAAAACAGAAAATTGGAGAGAAAATGGAGGTGGAGGACTTAGTACATGACCATAATATCCAGCCACCTCTCTGTAGAACTCAGGACCTGGGGTCTCAATAAGTGATAAATGTACTGAGAACCTTCTCTGGACCCAGCATTTACTTGTACTGTAGCAATGGAAAGTGCAAGATTCCATTCCTATCAGGAAAGTAGTCAGGCACAGAGTAATTCAGCGCTTGGGAGTAACCCTGCCACCACCGGGAAATTTGCATGCTATATCTTTAGCAGGATTGGGGGTGGAAGGAAGGAAATGTGCTGGAAAACATTTCTGGATTTTCCACCCCCTCTCACAAGCAAATAATGTAAAACAGGAAACTAATGATTTAGCAGGATTACAGTTTAAATGCCTGGATTAAAAATGTCCATTTCTACTAATGGTCTTGCATAGTCAGGGCAGCAGGTTACCCAGCTGGTTGGAATATGACCTCAGGCCTCAGTGGGGCTGTGGGAGGGGCTGCAGATTCTTCACCATGGAATGGAGACAAGAATTCAAGGAGCCCTGCAGAGACCTGTCTGGAGATGCTTCACCAGGACCCTTTCCTTCTCTTGTAACCACTTGACAAAATGCCTGGGAATAGAAGCAGCAAAGGATGTGAAGCTTGAGTGGAGCAAAAAAGAGCTGCTGCCACAAAGTACAGAAAGAAAAGTAATAACTGAGGATTTGCATTAAGTGGAGACAGCTATGAACATGTAATAAAAGAGGCCATCAGCTCACCTCAGGTGTCTGTTGTCTAAAACAGCAATTTCAGAATTCTCAGTGGGCTTAGTCACAGAAAAGTCCAGGCTGCAAAGAGTGTTTGTTCAAAATTTAGGTTTGTCCTGTCCTATAATCATAGCCCTTATAAGATCAGAAAGAACAAGTGCTGGTCAGGACATGGAGAAAAGTGGGCCCTCCTCCACTCTGAGAATGTAGACTGGTCCAGGCCCTATTGAAAGGAGTATGGAGGTTTCTCAAAAGATTGAAAAGTGGGCCTCCCCGGTGGCGCAGAGGTTGAGCGCTGGGTTGCGAAGCTGCCCACAGCCTCTGCAGCACCGGTTTGATCCCCAGCTGCTCCCCGGCCACCAGAGGAGGGTCCCACATGGCGCACAGACCTCTCCTGCCTCCCGCTCCTCCCCTCAGCAGTGCACTTCGGTCCTTCTGCCTGCTCTGCTCCCCGCTCTGGCTCTGGTGAATTCTCTCACCCTCCCGCACTTCTGACTGTACCCAGTGCTTGTATAAATAAATAAATAAATCTTTTTAAAAAAAAAATTGAAAAGAGATCTATCACATGATCCAGCAATCCTACTCCTAGGTATTTATCCAAAGTATGCAAAAATACTAATTGGAAAGGATATATGCATTCCTATATTCATGGCAGCACTATTTACCATAGATTATAAGAAAAATCTTAGTGCCCAAAGATAATGAGTGGATTTGGAAGATGTGTTACAGCTACACAATGGAATACTACTCAGCTGAAAAAAAAAAGGTGAACTTGTCATTTGTGACAAGATGGGACAGGAGAGGATTATGCAAGAAAATAAGTCAGAAGGAGAAAGAAAAATACCAGATTATTCTACTCGTGTGGTGTATAAAACAAAACAAATCAAAGGAACAAAAACAACCCAAAGCCCTTGAAATCTGATAACAGAACTGAGGTTCCCAGGGGGAGGTGAGGTGGGGCAGGATGGCAAGTGG